TGAGTTTACTGTAGGTTGCAAAATCGCTACTGATAACCAAATGACTCCAACGAGTTCACACGCCACCAATGTTGAGTTTCAACTGTTTCCTTACTTAATTTACACACCTCGTACAACGTTGGGTCCCACTGGGTCCCAGTTCGTTGGCTTCTTCTTAAATTGACAGGTAGCCGAGGTCAACAGTGTCTTCATTTCTTCTGTGACGGAGTGCACACTGCGAAATAAATTCCAGTCGGGCTTAGTCATTGCCCCTGGTAAAAATTTTACGCCTCTTGCTATAACTTTACGACCTCCTACGCCATTCCTTTTCGAAGATGAGTAGATTCCAAGCTCCTCGTAAATAGACAAAGACGTGATTTATTCATTTATAAATAACCGAACAGCTCTGGTTGACTGTGTGTCCGTGGGAAACAGGACAAAAACGATATGAAAATGTTAAAGCAGGAGCTGAATTTGATGACGGGTGAGACTGTTTATAATTCGATATTGTTGAAGAAGAGCCTGTAGATAGTTATACTGAAATTAAACAAGGGTGAAAATTAATCCCAATGAGACAGTTACCATATGTAAGACCAGCACTAAAGAACTTCAAACAGGCATTAAATATTTGGACCTTTTTTTTTTTTCAAAACATTTTGAATTGATGATCGTTTATTTCCTATTAATTTGTAACATTACAATAACAATATAAAAAATGTTACTATGGGCAAATAACAAGGCTGCTTTAGCAACCTCCCAAACTTTTATAAACATTTGTACCAGTAATAGCAATTTCCATTGATATGCTTTCGAATATCTCGCGCACCCTGTATAACGAACGAAAACTACAAACTGAAAATTGCACTTCTTGGCACAGTTCACGATACTGTATAAACAAAATTATCCCATTTTTTGCCGTTTTTCATTTACAACCAAAAATTCACCCAAAAAAAAAAACGGAAATGTTCAGGGTCTTTTAGATTTTTTGCCCAAAAACAACACACCTCGTATATAACTCAAAAAAAATGCGAAGTTATAGCCTCTCTCCCACGTTTCCTGATCTATGAATTGTTCCAACAGACTAAATGGTTTTCAAAAAAATATTTTTATTCTAAAACTATGAAGTACGCCCTAATAGTGAATGCGTCTAGACAGCACTAGAAATAGTGCTTTTCGTATGGATTTTTTTTCAGATATCTCGAGCACCGTATGTGATACGTAGTACATAAATACATAAATAAAATTTTGTAGGAATTTTGTTTTACCGCTAATAATTTAATGCCGAAAAGAACAGTTCAGGGTGTTTTAGATTTTTGTCCATAATTGAAAAACCCTGTATATAATCCAAAAAATGCGTAATATAAAAGTTGCACTACAGGATTTTGCCGATCGGGTTAACAGCTTCCAAGAAAAATTTTTTTTTTCTGGAAACCAAAACAATAAATGTTTTTCAAAAATATTTGGAGAAACTTGATTGCACCTATTGTCTACAGTTTGAATGTGGATATGGATTTATTCTTGTGTTTCCAAATTTGAAGTCGACAGCTAAAAATGTAAGACATTTTTGAATATAGCACCGAATACCCCGAACACCCTGTACAATATGTGACAACCTTAAAAACAAAAGCTTCTGCTCTCGGTACGGGCAATATGGTCATGTAAAAAGAACTGTTAACTGAAACACAGCCTCTTAGCTGTGGTTAATAATTGGAGAATACCGGGCATACCTTGTACATTTTTGAAAATTATCAAGAATAAAGGTTTTAGCATTCGATCCCACGGATATTTGTATTCAAGCATTATTTCGACTGTATAAACAGTTTTTGTTAATTGATCGTTTTCTTGGATCCTTGCAAATGCGATTTTTATTTTTATTTTTTTAATATTTTCCGAAAATCGGAAAAAAATGGATGCCGGAGTCGGAACGGTTACATTCTTTATGCGCTTCTGTATCTGGTGGAGAGTTGAAAAAAGGTAAATCTCAATTTCGAAGCTCATACGACCAAAGGACGAGTACAGAGAACAGAGAACGGACAGAAAAAAAATTTATCTGTCCGTTCTGTGCGATCGTTGCCAGGTTTACCAAATTTCTTATTGTTCTATTTATCCTTGGCAATTTCAGTTTTGTGTGTCTGAAACTTCGTCAAAGCTTTATTTCTCAGCTTTATCATCATTTTTAAATTTTCTGTTAGCCATGGAGCTGACGGTTTAGTTATTTTGCAAGCCCTAACAGGTGCACGCTTTCCAAACAAATTCAAAACATTCGTGTTGAAAAATCAAGCAATTTACAAAGTGCAGGTCGAATAGAAAAGCCCTATGGTCAACACCGCCGTCAGAAATTATATTAGACATACATAAGAAACTATCGAGTCAATAAGTGGTATCGACGTTTCTCTAATGGTTTCTTCTACGTGCTGCGTAGAGAGTTAAACAATTGTGAGGCTGAACTATTGAGAGCAATAAGATCAATATTAAAGTCACTACCGAATACAACATAATCAAATTGAGGCAGTAGAGCAACTAAGTTACTTTCAAGACTAAACCCAATGGGAGCGGAAGAAAACACTCAAAACCGATTCTGTCAAGACAAGAGAGAAACAGTGAATGAGCTTTTCAGAGCGTTTTTGGTGTGAATGAAAAAAGCAATAACATCAAGTGTTTTTGTGAATTTGAAGATGCGTTCGACCCCCCTAGATCATTGTTTGAATTAGAAAATTAGCAGAGCAATTTTTCTGAAGAGTAGGAGCCATAAAGCTGGGATTGTTTATATCAACGATATACAATAAGGGTTAAAAAAATCATTTTTGAATGTGTTTGCTGACGACACTTTTATTTCTATGTTAGTCAGAGCTTAATTGAAACTAACTCGCATTTTAATCCGAACCTGCTTATATATTCTTTGAAGGGGGGCAGAACTAAATGAATAATATAAACACAGTGGTAAATCTGGTTTTGACGTTATATTTCTTTAGAAATTTTCATATGTGGTCAGTGATGTTATCAATGTAAGGAAGCGTGGGATTGCTTTCGGCTTTATTGCTATTGGAACGTTGTGGTGAAGTGTATTTTTTGATGGAATGCTTAATATCTTCAATGTGGAAATTATTAGAGAGAAGAGCATAGGTAAGGTGTTTTTTCTCTGGATTCAGTGACTGAGAGCTGCATTAAGGTGTTGGTCTGTGTGCGTAGGTTTTCTGTAAACACAATGATAAAATGTTAGGTCTGATTTTCTATTGATAAGAATATCTAAGAGTGGGAAGTTATTATTAGTTTCTAATTCAATGTTAAAACGTATTTTAGGGTGTACAGAGTTTAAATGTCTAAGAAAATCTACTTGGGATTCTTGATCTTGATTCTTTGATTTTAGATGGAAGGTGTCGAGAGCTTTTGGTTCCCGATTTTCGGATTCTAATGTGAAATCTCCCTATAGCGAAACTCTGTATAACGTAAAACTCTGTATTACGAACAAAATTTGTTGTACTATTAGGTCTCGATACAAAGCTATGTATTAATCCACTCTGTATAACGAATTTTTCACTCTCTATATCGAAAGAAAAAAGGGCACAAGTCTTAAGAGTCGATACAGGAACAACATTTTAATGGAAATGATCGAGTCCGAAGGCAAATTTTCCATTAATATGCTAGATGCAGCCAGCTTTATTAGTAAAGCTTATAAGGAGGTGACATCAGAAACAATTCAACATTCCTATCATCATGCAGGACTTATTACCGACACAGAATGCGGACAGGCCTTGGAAGATGATCTGCCACTAAGCTAGTGGATAAAGCATTTTCAAACAACAATCACGTTTACAAGTGAGGAGTTCCAAGATTTTACGGGTATAGATCATGATTTACCTACAACAGCAGACTTGACAGAAGAAGCCATATTACAACAAGCAAGAAAGGGTGAGAAAGAGCACCCAGAGGAAGAAGAAGATGAAGAACCAACCATTCAACAAGCCCTATAATCAGAATTTTTTTAAGTATCATTGGGACAATGCCCCTCTCAAAGAAATGGTGAAAATACAACCCAAAGTACGAGATGCGTATTAGCATACTAAAAAAATTCAAAATAAAATGACCGATTATTTGAAACGCTAAATGTAGTTCTTAAATATTTATGTAAAATGTTTCCAAGTAGATGTTAAAACATGTAGATATATAAAAAATTAACGAAAAAAAAAAAAAGCGGTCCCTTCAATTTCGCTATATAGAGTTTCGACTGTATCTCATTTAGCTCAACCCCTTCAAACAATATGTACAGAGTAAAATGCGAGTCAGTTTAGTCAGTTAAGCTCAGAAAAAGCCAACAGGATGACTGACGAAACGTCAGCAAGTTTGGTTCAGTAAAAACCGACTTAGGAGGAATCCAGAAGTGGATGTTTCTTCTAGTATAGTTATGGAGTGAGTCACAATAGATCCTCTAGATCGCAGTGATAGACAGGCAGATTGCTGAGTCCCGCAATCTGAATCTGAATCTTCTTCTTAACGCAAACTAACATACCGCAAAATACATTGACAAAAAGGCAGAAAATTGTTCACACCGAAGAGACTGAATGAATTTTATTTGTTTTTGTAAGTATATTCGTTTATATTCTTTCTAGTTTGTAAGAAATAAATGTTTGGTTCTATTTTTAGTAAACAAAGCATAATTATTGAATTTAACACCTAATTCCTATATTATGAAATGCGAAAATAAAAGAAATTGAGAAATACCTAAAATAAGATGGACGGATGACCTAGGAAAAGGCACGCTCGTCGAAGACGGTTTAATAACAATCTATTATTTTGGTCTGTAAAACAATCCCGTAGTGGAAGGCGAGAGGAAAAGAGTTCGCCGGGTTCAAACCATCCGCGTAAACGCGGTCAACGCCAAGTCTTTGTGCGTTGCACCGTTGCTTTAAGAGTTCCTCTACCTCCTTCTAAAATGCAGACGCGGTATTAAAGGTCGTCGCTTTTCACGTTATATGCACGGTCGCAGTGCGATCGAACCCCAGTCACAGTTTAGTAGTGTTGAAGTACTGCGTCAGTACTTCAAACAGACTAAATTTCGCGCCCGTTTTCCGCGGAAAACCCGGGGGTGGCGGCGTGTCGGCTTCGAATTCGGTACCGAGTGAAATCAACGATTTCGGTATCCATCTTTAGTTTGGAAAGCAGTGCGTGAAAGCTGTGCGTCGGGTATGAAAATTGGAGCGGTCACGGATAAACGGGAAAATGATACTGGAAATTTTTGATAGCTACCCGGCAAAATCGCTCGTCTGCTGACGTGGTGAGTATTCTTTCGGAGGTTTTGAGCGAAAACCGCGTGTAAACTCGTTTTGGCATAAGGTAGCAGTACTACATTAAGGTTAGGCGCAACTTTCCGGTTGACACCATTTCGACTATAGTGTTTCCACGGATAAAGAGATTTTGGTACAAAAAGCTATTGTTACAACAACATCCAATAATTTATTCATGGGTAAGGGACAAGACAAGGGTGTAGAGTACAAAAATTTTGACCTCCCTTCCGGAAAATCAGAAGTATTCAATTGTTTTGTTTATAGTAATACTTTATTTATCCAGGGCGTTTTCTAACTCAATGTCAATAATTAAGGGGTGGAGATTTTTGGGTCCATTTCAAAAAGAAAACTTCATATTGCTGTAGAATTTATTCTGGATGCGAACAAATCGAAAAGTAGAACTAACTTTTTATTTATTTATAAAAGTATACTTCGACCAGAAATATAGTGTTTTTACAACCGACCCCGTGATTAACTTTGCCTACTGTCTATTACTGCAAAACCGCAGCCCCTTATAGAACACTCTGCCGAGCAGAATTTATCTATTGAACTGAGGTGGCTTTTACTTGATGAAAATCCATTTAATAAAGTAAATAAGAACTGAAAGTTCAGATTTTCACGAAATTATGTATATTCACATGACAATTGTTTCTACAACACCGTGTCTTTATCATATGTAATATTTACAAACTACCTGCCACTATATATACCGAAAAATGACCATAAAACCTTAATTAAAGTTGTTCTGAAAATTTAAGTTAAATAATGGAGAGGTATTCAAATCTAATTGATCGTTAAGCAATACATTTGAATGTCTCATTTTGTTAATCTCCATGACTTCCAATAAATTTAATTTTCTACTTTGGCTTTTGTGTGTGTTTAAGTGTGTAGCATAATTAGAATCTGGACTATTGTTTTTAAACGTTCTTTTATGTTCGTTAATGCGATTCTTGAAGGATCTACCTGTTTGTCTAATATAAATTTTAGGACATGATCCGCATTTCATCCTGTAGGCACCTGATTTTTGAGATTTTGGACACTTCGTTTTATTGCTTTTTAAAAAATTTCCTATTGTGTTGTTAGTTCTGAAAGCTACTTTTAAACCACATTTTGAAAAATGTTTTGAAACTTTTTCACTGGGTTCTCCTATGTATGTAATTGTTTTAAATTGTTCGTGTTCAAAAGCAATTGGTAACTTTCTTAGATCTATGAACAGACCATACCGTAAAATACTTAAAACGTCAATGCAATAAATGCACTATATTTTTGGTCGTATTATGAAATATTAGAATCCCAACAATCGATCGTTTATGGACAAATAATATTTTGGTTAATTAGGGCGCCAGTGCATAAAATATATTAGAACGTAGAATCTAGATGTTGAAATTGTCCTCCAAATTATTTTTATTACCTACTTAAATTACTTGAAATTATTCACATAATATATCAGTATCACTCTGGCTATCATCATTAAGCACAGGTAGGTATAAAATTATTTTCTATTACGGACCACAATTTTACCTGAATTTAAATTCCGAAACTTTAGGTAATAATCTTGTTGCATTGTATGTTAATGACCACTGTTCGATAATCAAATTCAAAAGCACTTTCTTATATCTATGAACAGACCATACCTGTTTGTCCGATATAAATTTTGGGACAAGATCCTTGTAGACTCCGGATTTTTGAGTTTTTCGTAATTTAGTTTTATTGTTTCTGAGAAAATGTCCTATGGTGCTTTCAGTATTAAAAGAAATATTAATACCAAATTTACATAGATGTTTCGAAATTTTCTTGCTAGGTTCTCCTATGCATTTTATTGTTTTATAAATATTGTTTTCGGTATTTAATATGGGATAGATAGAGTTCAGAGTAATTTGAAACTGCTTTTTAGTTGTAATCTTATCTATCAAAGACGGGTCGTAACCATTGTTAACAGCTATTTGTTTTATAATATTTAATTCTTTTTCAAAATTTTCTGTAGAAAACGTTACATTAAGTAGTCTGTTGATAAAAGCATAAAAGGCCGACATTTTGTGTGTGTAAGGGTGAATTGAGTTTTTATGTATTATTGTGTCCGTGTATAAGGGTTTATGGTAAATGAAAAAATCTAGCTTGTTCTGTAGTTTAGTTATAGTTAAGTCCAGAAAGTTTCTATGGTAAATTTTATACGGTTATGTATCGAGTTAATATGATTCAAAAGGACTGCAGTTGTCTTTCGGTTCCAGTGAAACAAGCAAAAACATCATCTACGTGTCCATACCACCAGAGAAATCCTTTACTCAGAGGATGTTTATGAATGATATTCTCTAAATTGTACATGAAAAATTCTGCAAGCAGTGGACTAAATGGGTTTCCCATAATTATTCCTTCTTTAGCAATATAAAATTGACCAAAAAATTCAAAATAATTTTTGCTCTAAACAAACTATTAAACTATCTAGCAAGTCTTGTTTTATGATAGGGTTAACTCGTCTCTGCGTGGGAATATTGTCTATTATGTTTATTACGTCAATTGGTGGAATGCAGAAAATAAGTTTTGAACATCAAATGAAACTAGAATTGCCTTAGGAGGAATCATTATGTCTTTAACCTTGTTAATTAGCTCTAATGAATTTTTGATAGCATATCTAGGTTTGAAGGAAGCATTCTATTCTAAAATTTTACAAAAGAAACTACAGGCCTTATTGGCATATTCTGTTTGTGTAATTCAAATAAAGAATATAACTTTGGAGGTTGAGGGTTCATGATTATTAGTTGGTATTTATCCATGTCATTAAAAAGTCATGAATCGGTAATTACTGTTTTGATTTATTTTAGATATAATTCGGTGAGATCAGATTGTATACTTTGGTATATGTCTGGAGCAATTTAAATTAAAGTTGAAAATTGATCAATCTATTGTAAAATTCATGATTCGAGAAGTTTGAAATGGCTGACTGCTTTTTAGTGGGTTTTATTAAATTGTCTAACTTGGATTTTTGTCTGAGATAATTTTTGTGAATAATGTTTGATATGTCAGTTCGGATTCTATTGTCGAATAAGTCAAATTCTATGAGATATTTCAGAATGTATTGCATAAATCCAATGTATATCCCTTTTCTTGAATTGTCTTCGTTTTTCTTTCAACCATTTTGTCTGACCTTGGAGTTATATTTGATAAAAACACAGTGTTACCGAAACAGCTGTCATGAAGTATTCAAAACTGTGAACATCTGAATATTTTTTGTTCTAATTTAATTTGTCCTAATTAAATATTGTACTTGTTCTAGCAATATTGGTAATTGCTCTTCTAAAAACGACGATAATTATGGTCGTTCGGTCTTTCTGGCAGGAAAAACGATCCAATTCCGTACAATTGACGAAGCCAAATATACCATCTTGGTCATGTTGGATTACTCTAAGGGGTTTGTTACCCTGGATCACTATACTTTGCTAACTATTCTAAAATACATAGGGCTTGATGAGGGTGCTGTCGAATTTATGGGGAACTACTTACAAGGTCGTACACAAAAAGTGGTTCTAAATGGACAGCAATCAGACTGCCGTGCTATAATATCTGGGGTGCCTCAAGGTTCCATTCTGGGGCCAATTTTATACTGTATATATGCGTCCGCGTTTGCTAGTTTTTTTACAGCATTGCAAAACCCAAATGTATGCAGATGTTTTTATTACTCATTTTCGGGAGATTTTGGAAAGCTGTCAAATCATAAATAATGATCTAGAAATCATTAACAGAGTGTCCCTAGAACATTCAATCCATCTAAATCCAAAAAAATCTATATATCTATATGTTCTTTGGTAGGCTCGTGGATGTTGATCGATTATCGCAACTAGTTGAAATAAAAATACCGAATGTGTGCAAAAAACCTTGGGCTTATGCTCGACAGTAAGCTAAGATTTAATGGTCACGTTACACAATGTATTAAAAAAATCTATTACTCAATTAAAATGCTAATCGTGATTGGATAGTTTTATCTTGTTTTAACCAATGTGATGTCGTCTATGGCCCATGTCTGCCAGCGACTTCCTCAGAACGGATTCAAAAAATCCAGATATACTGTCATTTTTGGGATTAAACTGAAGGAAGTCCGATGGCTTAATATGAATAACCGACGATATCTCCATAAATGTAATCTTTATCACAAAATTATAAGATTCAACTCTCCACGCTATCTTTTCAAACACTATTCGCACGGACGTTCACAATTTAAATTTAAGATTTAAAGGCCTGCTCACCCCTCGACGTCACACGTCTGGAATTTTTCAAATATCCTTTACATATGACATGGCTAAAACATATAATGCATTGGATCAGTCTCTTAAATTGCTAAACAATACCTTGTCCGCCCACCTGCTGAAGTATTATTATCATTAAATATTTAAGTAATGTCCACTGTAAACTATTTCCACAGATCGTATTAGGTATTTATTTTTTTTATATGTATTTTTCCTGCCTAGCGCGGCTACCTTCTTCTTAAGATAGGTTTAAAAGCGGAGGCACAAAATATCTTATTTTGTTCATCTAAACCGTGTCCTTTTCATTGTATATCAATACGTGAACAAAATTATTATTATTATTATTATTAATTAAATAATTTTCAGAATATTCCAGTCTGGAAAAGTTAGCTTCATCTCTAAATGGTATTTTCTGGTGGAACAAAGATTAACACGAAAGGGAAAACCCTGGGAAGTAGCGCTTGTGGAAAATGATATGGGTACAATAGAAAACCGTGCAAAATGTTCCATACCAAGATGCGCGAGATATTCAGATTATTTCCAACTTTTCAGGATTTTCATTATTATAATTTAAATCTACTGGAGTTGTTACAGTCTGGTGGACCCCTTTCAAATGATTATTTGTCCTCACAGTACCTGCTCAAGTCAACCTTCTATGTAATAAGCGAGGAATTTAAAATCTGATGTCAAACAAATGTCAAACAGCCACCTTGATAACAGAATTAATAATACTCACAGGCACAGCCCACTAC